GTAAATATATCAAAACTTAATTTTTGATTAGTAATATGCATTGCTAAGAACTTAATTTGGACAACTTTAAAGATGATTTTCTCAATATTTAGATTTTTTTGCACCCTCAGATTCCAGATTTTCAGATAGTTGTATCTCAGCCAAATATTGTGCTATCCTAACAAACCATACATCAATGGAAAGATTATTTATTCAGCTTTGAGATGATGTATAAATCTCAATTTCATAAAATTGACCCTTATGACTGGTTTTGTGCTCCAGGGCCACATATTCTATATACATTTTTTAATTAGGCCTATTTATTTTGTGCTGTTCAACGGTGTTTTTGTCATTATTTCATTCACTTTGCTGTGGCCTGCTAAATTCCTAAACACTGAAACCTGTGTCCAGCTAAGACTGAATTATCACACCATTAACACTCAGAAACGTATGAAGGCACTGCTCACCTGTAAAATATGTTATTAATTTGCTTTCTAATGTAAGCGCGCAGCCCGAGAAACTTTCCATATATTCGATGCAGGGTGGTTTTCAGGAAATCTCTCTCTCGTGGATCTTCACTGTCAAACAACTCCAGAAGCTGAAATTCAGTTCAGAAACAGCGCTTCACACGTCTGAACTAATACTGAAACTTCAGCTTATTTATAGTGAAATTACATTTCTGCAAACCTGCATCACAAATTTCTGGTCGATGTATTTCTTGGCAATATTCGGCTGAAAGTCGGGCGACTCGAGAAACCGCAGGAAAAACTCGTACACCAGCTTTGAGAAACAGAAAGATGCTGTGATGAGCAACAGGTCAAACTCTGGTGACGTTATTTATTCAGATGTGCAGCGCTGTATTAGTTCTGGACCTGCAGTTACACGCTCACTCATCTTATCATGATGCTGAGATTCAGCTGAAAACATTCTGTGCATCATTTGGTTTCTGTTTCTGTGGCACATTGATCTTCTCATAGCTGTTGTGGCTGAAGACACCACTGGTCAAACGTTTGCAATAATTAGGATTTTTTAATGAGCTGAATATTTAAATTGTGATACATTTTATTTTTCAGGATTCACAGATGAACAAAGTTCAAAAGTACAGCATTTATTTGAAATATAAATCTTTTGTAACATTATAAATGACTTTACTGTCACTTTTGATCAGTTTAATGCGTCCTTGAAGAATAAAAGTATCAATTAATTTTTTTAAATCTTATTTACCCCAAACTTTTGAATGGTAGTGTATCTCGGTTTCCACAGAAATATTGTGCAGCACAACTGTGTTCAACATTGATAATAATCAGAAATGTTTCTCGAGCAGCAAATCAGCATATTAGAATGATTTCTGAAGATCATGTGACACTGAAGACTGGAGGAATGATGCTGGAAATACAGCTGCGCATCACAGGAATACATTACAGTTTAACAGAGATTCACATAGAAAACAGCTGTTTTAAATTCTAATAATAATTCACTATTTTTTCAGCTTTTTTGATCAAATAAATGCAGCCTCTGTGAGCACAACAGATAAAGCAATTATTCCAAACGTTTGTCCAGTAGTGTAAGTCTCATCAGTGGTTATGTAGTGGACAGAAGCGGTCAGATATGCTGTGAATGATGTACAGAAAGCACCTGTAGATGAGGCCAGGCTGCTTCCAGAGTGGGTTCATCCTCCTCCGGGTCGAACTCTGCTCCCGTCGGGTTCGATGAAGGCGGCAGAGCCCTGAACATGTTCACAGCGAACTGCAACACAAACACAAGCATTAGCATTAAACATCACAATACTGCAGTTCTGATTTGCATAACATGTCATTGATTTTCTACAACTTTTATTTATATAAACCAGCAGGTTGAGTAAATAAGATGGAGCCTAGGCTCTCCTAACTGGACGAATGTGAAGCGTGATCACGACACATCATACTGTGAGGTATCTGCCGATCGCCAGCCCTGTTTATAATTGCAGTAGTTAGTAGTGGATCTTCACGTTCATCTCACGCCATCTGCACAATCCACATACATCAGGCGGATGTTTTTGTGTCGCTTCTTGAAGTTTCTTCAGTGTGTCGCAGACGAGGGCTGCATTTTAAAAACACTGCGTCGAGCTATAAAAACTTCAACTTAAAAAAACTGTCTTGAGACCCCTCTTCAAGTTCCAGTTTTTTAATGCAAGAAGCTGAATAAATAAGCTTTCCATTGATGTATGGTTTGTTAGGATAGGACAATATTTGGCTGAGATACAACTATTTGAAAATCTGGAATCTGAGGGTGCAAAAAAATCTAAATATTGAGAAAATCATCTTTAAAGTTGTTCAAATGAAGTTCTTAGCAATGCATATTACTAATCAAAAATTAAGTTTTGATATATTTACAGTAGGAAATTTACAAAACATCTTCATGGAACATGATCTTAATATCCTAATGATTTTTGGCATAAAAGAGAAATGTATAATTGTGACCCATACAATGTATTGTTGGCTATTGCTACAAATATACCCCAGCGACTTAAGACTGCTTTTGTGCTGCAGGGTCACATTTTACACAAACTGAGTCACAGATTAGCACAAAATGCTGAAAATCAGCCAGAAAATTCGTATAAATCGACTAAATCAATCATTGGCCTCGGGCGCGTTATTATGAACTCATGCACATCTACAGCAAACAATCGACGGCCACATTAGCACAACAATAACTCTATCAGCATTGATGCAGCTTTGATCATGTGAGAGATGGACGTGAAAGCTGCCGATCGTTCGGTCGCACGTGTAGCTGATCTGATCAAAAGAGCACATTATCAAACAGAACGTCTCTTTTTTAGATCTGTACATCATGGTTTTGGAGAAGAGAGAGCTTGTGTTTCAGCTGAATCTCCAGCGTGATAATGCTTCTTTAGTGCTGTAAATAGAAAAGCATGTGAAGTGAGTGTCAGTAAAGCCCAAGACCGCGGCTGACTCCGTGTGGGAAACAGAAGCATCTTTGAGCTCGGAGATCAAACGAGCGGCTCCTGAGAGCCGGCCTGACTCACCATGTGCACCACCTCCGGGTAAATGGGCTCCGTGATGACACTGCGATTGTGGTTGATGTACTCCACCATCTCGCTCAGCGCCGCCCGCTTCACCTCCTTCCATTTCAGGTCGCTGAGCGGATCGGACAGAAAGTCGAACAGAACGCAGCACTGACGCAGCTTCTGGATGAAGAGCTTCTCCTGCTCGGCCGGAGCCACATCTGAAAGCACAAGAAGAGCAGAGACCGTCATCAGATGATTAGAAACACTGCACAATCACACAGTGTTGGGGGTAACGCATTACAAGTAACGCCAGTTACGTAATCAGATGACTTTTTTCAAGTAACTAGTAACGCATCACTTTTTAATTTACAAGAGAATATCTGAGTTACTTTTTCAAATAAGTAACACAAGTTACTTTTTTTTTCCCAATTTACTGATTGACAGCTCTGGTGTTGCCATGGTGACAGAAATCAGAAGATGTTACTGTAGTTCTAAAATAAATATGAATATGCATTAATTCATCTCACTCACACACACAAAAAAAACAGATTCAGTATTCCTCAAAATGAATAAAAATAATGCAACTCGGAATATGACACAAACCTGCAATAATTAAATGTTAAACAACACAAATCTGCTTTATGTATTTAATCCCATTCTATTTGCTTCTGACCTTCGATGATCCAGTTCAACCGTACTAATAAGCACAAATTACTCTAGATGAACATTTGTGTGTCTTTTTTTATTGC